CCCTAGGAGCAAGTTCTTAGCAAAAAACTTTTTTTTTGACTTTTTCGGGTTGTAGGTGACCGACCATTTGGTCGGCAGTGTGAGCGGAGTCTCACATCTTCGTAACAGCGATGACGTATCGTTGACGCTACGGACCCCGGACAACCCAATAAGCAAACCCAAGAAGGTCAAAACAATTGTTTTGACCGAAAATTCGTTTTTAGTGGTAATCAGTGGCCCTGATCACAAATATAACACCTATTCTTGGCGTCCACGCAATTTGGCGCCAGAATAGCGCTGAACGCGTGGACGCCAAGAATTGGTGTTGTATTTGTATGGAATGGGTGTCCTTATATGGGTGTACATAACGAATTCAGTGGGAAGAAGATGTGGCCCCAAATTGGCTATAATTGACACCACACCAGAAGTTACTATAATTCGCGATCAGATCCATAGCCTATGAAGATCAACGTTCAGCAACAATCTTGTTCAATGGTGCGTGAAAATCGAAATAGTTGAATAGCACTGACTCATGAGGTACAGCTACTCAGAATGTGCCCATAAATGGCAAATATCCGAGTTATATTCATGCGCAGACACTAATGGAAGCGAGAACAGCGAAATCTAAAAAATGCAAAAAGCCACGACGCAAGGGGAGCCGAACCATCAACCCCACCCTCACTGTCCGATTGCGAAACCTCCTCTCTATCCGCTAGGCCATCCATGATGCAAGTCACTGCTCTAATCGTTGAAGAAACCATCGCAATAAGCCGTTCACCCTTGAGCACGTGACCCATGTTGGAAGCTCATTTGCGACGATTTTTCGCTTCGATTCAATAGTCCCTTTATAAGGACCCCCACTCAGCAACTGGTCAAAGTTGCAAGTGACCTACGCCGCATAGAGGCCCAGAACGAAGCAGATTCCAAAGATTTTTTTCACTCGTTTTTTACCTTTCCTGGAAGCGCGCAGCGAAAATGAAGCACACTTTTCAGGTCCTTGCATGAGCCCCTACAATATGCAAAAAACCGTTTTCGAAAAGCGCACCACGCCCTGAACGACCTCCCTTGTAAGTATAAATTTGTAAGGCGCTAGTTGGCCGACTAATATAAAAGAAGAGCGGTGGAAATGTTAAGCAAGAAAATGTCGAAAACGCTCTGAGTGAGCTTTAGTTTAAGCGTTAGGACGAGCAGCAGTGAGTTAGAGACACAAGGACGCCTCTACGGCATCAGAAGGTAAAGATCCACAAGCGGCGGGTTGCACAGCGACTGTCAGCGGCGAAAATTGGTTGCTGGTACAGGGGTTATTCTATTTGGCTTCGCGACCTGAGATACCCATACCCAGGGAAGGATTCCCCTGCTGCGGCAAGCGGGATGTGTCTTCAGTTCTCGAAGTTACGGGTTGAAAGTCAAATACATGGCGCATTCTAGCTGACTCTTCTCAAATACAACAACTCTTTAGGTTACTCCTTCAAAATTACCTGATTAAATTTGCTGTGAGGGAAGGAAACGGTTGAACATCGCTGAATAGAAATCATAACGACGCCACAAATTCTACCGTATTCGAATAGATATGTCTGTGTGTTAGGACCATTGAACGAAAATTGTCCAGTTAAGGCTCCAGTAGAACGGTTTCAGAGCGTCTATTTCACGCATATTCACACTTGTGTAATAACAAATGAATCCCACCACATCGATAAATCCCTGAAAGGAAAAACTTTAGGTAGTACTGTACCTTAAGGTAACGCGCTTCATCTACTCAATATTGCTAATCGATCTGTATCAACAGGTTCGATGGGCGAGCTTCTCGCTTGAAAAGAAACAGTGGGAGGGGGGTGGAGTGGCGCCATCGTATCACGTCATGTCTGCTTCTCTTGACGTGTCTCTTCTAATAATGAGCCTTGAAATGGACGTTTTTCATTTAATGAGAGGACGCAGACAAGCAGACATGATGTGACGTAGTCGCACTGCCGCGTGGTCTCGCTCATCTACCTTTGTCCCAAGTTTTCAAATGATCGACCTATTATATCATACACTAATAGCTTGATAGGTTAATTGGGAGCTTATCAGCTGTTATCACGTCCTGCCACCCACCAATAAGTCCATCCTGCCCCTTATCCAACTTCTTGGAACCCACATCCCGTCGTCGCTGTGGTCCGCGCTATGGAGCTGGTGACCCTTCCTTTTTAAGGCCCCTTGTGGTATCTTATCAGCTGTTATCACTTCCTGTCACCCACCAATAATGTTCCCATCCTGCCCCCTATCTAACTTCTTGAAACCAACGTCCCATCGCTGCTGTGGCCGGTGTTATGAATTAGGTAACTCACTCTTTTTAAGGCCCTTATGGTATCTTATCAGCTGTTATCACTTCCTGTCACCCACCAATAATGTTCCCATCCTGCCCCTATCTAACTTCTTGAAATCAACGTCTCATCGCTGCTGTGGCCGGTGTTATGAATTAGGTAGCTCACTCTTTCTAAGGCCCCTTGTGGTATCTTATCAGCTCTTATCACTTCCTGTCACCCACCAATAATGTTCCCATCCTGCCCCCTATCTAACTTCTTGAAACCAACGTCCCATCGCTGCTGTGGCCGGTGTTATGAATTAGGTAACTCACTCTTTTTAAGGCCCTTATGGTATCTTATCAGCTGTTATCACTTCCTGTCACCCACCAATAATGTTCCCATCCTGCCCCTATCTAACTTCTTGAAATCAACGTCCCATCGCTGCTGTGGCCGGTGTTATGAATTAGGTAGCTCACTCTTTTTAAGGCCCCTTGTGGTATCTTATCAGCTGTTATCACTTCCTGTCACCCACCAATAATGTTCCCATCCTGCCCCCTATCTAACTTCTTGAAACCAACGTCCCATCGCTGCTGTGGCCGGTGTTATGAATTAGGTAACTCACTCTTTTTAAGGCTCCTTATGGTATCTTATCAGCTGTTATCACTTCCTGTCACCCACCAATAATGTTCCCATCCTGCCCCATCTAACTTCTTAAATAACGGCTCATATCCTGTGTGGCCGGTGTTATGAATTAGGTAGCTCACTCTTTTTAAGGCCCCTTGTGGTATCTTATCAGCTCTTATCACTTCCTGCCACCCACCAATAATGTTCCCGTCCTGCCTCCTATCTTACTTCTTGGAACCAACGCTCTAGTCTTGCTGTGACGCGCGTTATGAATTTGCTGACTTCGCCTTTATACGGCCCCTTATGGTATCTTATCAACTGCTTATCACTTCCTGCCACCCACCAACAATGTTCCTGCCCGACCCCCTACATCACTTATAAGTTTGAGCGCTTTATCGCTATTTTGAAGAAAGTTATGAATTTCCGGTCAAACACACGCACACACACGCGCGCATACATACACACACACACACATACACGTAGACA